TTCCCTTGCCTTGGAGTTTCACAAAATAAATTCGCAGCTCCTGACATGAAGAGATTAAATGTGGTTTTTCTTTTAAGAAACACACCTTTTGTTCTACTTCTGAGGCTACCGGAAAACATTTGAATAGATCTTCAAGTCTTGTTTTTAGATGGCTGTAATATGAGGGAGCAAACATGCCTGCTTGCCAACATGCCCCCATGTGGGGTGGGGGTTGGTCAGAAAGGTGGTTTGACTGATGTTCCCTTTTATATCTGGCAAGATCCTCATTGACTGGAATGAGGCTGTGGATGGTTTTTATCAACGATTCCCCTTTACTGCAATTGTCTGGATACTGGGGTTCTACTTGGGCGCACTTGCTGAAGATTCACTAAGGCCTTCTTTGTGAATGTTTCTAGTTCAGAGTGGCACTTGGTGGGTTTCTGAGCTTTCTCTGTCAGAGGTGACAGATGACAACTGCACATGAAAAACAATAGAACCTGCCCCGGGGTGACATGCTCTACTCTCCTAGGCCTCAGGTTCAGGCTCTGCAGCTGGAGTCAGTGGAAGGCTGATGGCAAAGTTTGGTTTCTGGGTGGTTCACCGTGAGCTTGATTCCCAGGTGGACACCATTCTTCTCCCCTGCTCAAGCAGGTTTCAAGAATACTCAGTGCCACGTTGGAACCTAAAACAAGCTTGTAAGGAAACAGGTGGTGGATATTAAGAGATTTACCAATGCCATCTTTATTTCTTCATTTCCTTTCTGTGGGATTTCATATTTGTGAGCATATTCTCTGAATGCGCTGGTGTGGCTGTTTCTCAGCCAGCGATCCTGAGTCTCAGGGCACACATTTCCTGAAGAACATGCATGTGAAGTGAGCGTCTGAGCTCTCTTACAGATGTTTTTAATTCACCAATACTGTTTATGTAGCTAGCAAGCACGATTTTCAGCCTGGAGAGGGCTGTTGCTAAATTTTGTGTTGCTCCTTAAAACCAGCTAGGATGGTTCCCTGTTATTACCTTTGAGGAGGGCTCTGAAGTCCATTTCTGGTAATTCTTGGCTCACTTTTTGGTTTTTATTTTATTATTGTTTTATATAATTAAGGATAGTAATAGTGGCATGAAGAACTCACCTCACTCAACAGTTCTTTTCCCCTTTCATCCTAATTCTCAAAGAAGTAAATAGTAGCACAGAAAGGACACAAGTTGTGCTTTCTATTCTGTCAGAGTCTAAGGAACCAGCATTTCTTCTTCTTTTTATGAAATATGATTGATTTTTTTTTCTCCTGGAAAGCTAAATAAATGAAATCACACAACTAGACAATTGTGTATACAGGATAATGACTATCAACTATTTAGCAGATAAATTACTTGATAATATAGACGGACACATTCATTGGGTTTTTACATTTTTTTCTGAAAGTAAAGTCTATCAAATGAAAAGAAAAGATAGACACTAACTCAGATTTCTCAAAGAAAGGATCCCATAAATAAACTAACTGGACTATCTCTTGATTTGTATGTCAGATATGTAAGTACTTAGAACACTGTCTCAGCTGCTCTCATCTGTAAAATAAATGACTACTTAAAAGTGCTTGATTCCATTTGTACGCCAGCTGTTCTTGTATGAAACAAATTGGGACTTTCTCAAGATAATCAGAGTCCACTGTCTGTAGGATTTGTGCCCAATACCTAGGAGCTGGAAAAGGCAGTCAGGGCTCTCAACTCATGGTTAAGACACTCATGACTGAAAGACGCTTATAACAGTTGCTGATTACTGGGGACTTGTAAAAACAAGAGCCTTCCCTTTTGTGGGTTCTGACTGGTGGAAAGATCTGAGCCAATATGGAGTCTTATGCATTGTTAACAAATTAACAAGAGCCTAAGTGGTTTTACATATGCAAACTAATAGTACTTTGGCGTTAATGATACAAATTAGGAATGCATTAAAAGATAAAAACGCAAGATTAGTTATTCACAGCCATAAACAAGCTGGAAATAATGCAATGTCAGTGAAAGTAGTCACACAGGCAAGGTGCTGGTGACAGGAGACTGAAAAAAACATAAAAGGGAATGATTTCACAAACAAGTCCCAAGACAGTGAGCATATCAGCATTTGCACTTTCTGTTGCACAAGTTCAAAAATAGCACTGCAATCATTATATATTCTGCATTGAAAAGCAAAGGAAAATTAGTACCTAATGAGGGAGGCACATGATTTTCTCCTCTTTCTCTCTTCCTTTCTAAGATGTATTTATGTATGCATACAGAACTGGGGTATAGGTGCTGGGGCAGTGAGAGGATTTACCAGAGACAAAGAGGGGAGCAGAACAGGCAAATCGACGAAGTACACTCCTGAGGGGACATTAATATTAACTCGGACTCCAAAACTTGTGCTTTTGAACTCTGTTATATTATCTCTTAGTAATAAAGGTTTATTGGATTTTTAAGTAAAATCATTGTTGTAAAATTTCTTTACTTTTTGCAATAGTGCTTTTTAATTTTTCAATTCAGAATTGTGGTTTATTTATCGGCTATTCCTACAGATCCCATTGTATGAGCTCTACAAGAGCCTTATTTAAATCCACTGTTAATATTTTTATATTTGACACTTCAATGTCCGTCCTTTGAAATTGTATTATTAAAATACTTATATTCATGGGTTTTAAAGTATAAGCCTTAACAAAGCTTCTGTTAATGATATTAATAGACAAGCAACTTTAAATAATACTATTAAAATACTAAACTCTAGATAAGTGATTTAATACTACTGCAGTATATATCAAGAACAGTGCTATTTTCCCTATAGTTTGCAGTTTAGTTTATCCTTCTCTTAGTCTTCAGCTATGTTAACAGCATCGACAATTACCCTCAGTATATGGATTACAGCTTTTCTGGGAGTGATAATAAGGGAAAATACTGCACTTTCAGAAACCCCCCCATATCTTATCACTAGATTGCTACTTTTGACAGAGGAAAACTAGTGATTGCTTGTGAATAAATAAATTACTATTTAAAGAACTCTTGTCAATAAAAAGGTCAGTATTCATTTGTTATTACATATTATTTTGAGCTTCTAGAAAAGCATTTTTTCATGTGTAACAATGCTTCTTTGACAAGAAAAAAATAAATATAATTTGGCAGTGCAAACTTGAACCCTCATTTATGATACGTGTTCAAAGGCTAGAAGGCTGTGGAAAGGATTCTATTTAGTTGTTCAGTTATTAATGTTGGACATAACATTAATGTTAGACACTAATTTTAATGTCAGTGTTTAGATTTCCAGAAGAGAAACTGTAGCTTATTTTCCCCTAATAGAATAACAAGATACCTTATATAAATAATTTTGAAATCTGACAACACAAGAGTTGCCAGAATTTCCACGGATTAAGGATTCTAACTCAGATCTCTTTGGTTGCAAATATACCCCATGCAATTATTGAAGGAGTTCCTTAGTGTTTCACTAAGATTTGTCTTAAACTACTTAAGAGTCGTCTTAATGAGATCTGGGGATCACTAGTTACCACTATTCAAATGCTCTTGTGTTTGCCTATTTTCCAACGGGACTGTCTTTTTTCTCATTGACTTACAGAAACTATTAAGGATAGGAACATACCTGTTACAGTTGTTGCAATTATTTTCTTCTTGTCTGTAATTTTGCTTGTATTTCATTTTGCTGAAATCTTTTTGATTATGCCGTGTTTTTCTAAAGTGGAATTTAAAAGTTTTATGGAGTCAAACCTGTCAAATATGTTCTATGGCTTCTAGTTGTTATTGTTGTTTTGATCATGAGTAGAATCTTCCAGCCAAGATGTTAATTTTCTCATTGACATTTATTGAAATAGTCTATCGTTTTCTCTTTGAAAAGAAAAAACTTTGTCTACACTAAATTCACATTGTAAATGTGGATATGTGTTGGGAATCATAAACCATTTTTATTCCTGCATCATAATATTTTACTTATCATTGTTTTTTTTGATATATAATGGAAACAATTCCTATTTATTTTTCCATTTCAAAATATTATTAGTATTCATAGTTTTCTTTCTTCAGATAAATTACACTATTTGTTAAGTCCCAGAAAAGAAAATGTGTTGTGATTCTAATTGAAACAGCACAAAATGTATATATTAATATTGGAAGCACTGAATTTTCCATCAAGGAAAAAAGAGATGATGTTCATTGATTCAGATTCCATTAAAATATTAAAGTTTTTAAAATGTGTTTTCTTTTTTTAATAGATTGGCTTATAATTGAATTTTATAACTGCACTTAGCTGGTAACAAAGAATAAATAAAGTTCAAAGACCTGTCTGGGAATAGAATTTAAACTCATTCCTGGAACCTAGTTGTAAGAGACACAATACTCACTTGTTCAAAAAATAAAACAACATAAAAATGTGTTTTTGGCCTGCACCAGGCTAAATAATGTGATGTCGCCTGTATCATACTGTGTCATAGTGGCTATGCATGGAACGTGTGTCTCATTCCTTTTTAGTGTTAGGCCACTAGACTATGAACTCTTCAGAACTTAACTAGTTTGTTTTTCAAAGATGTGTTTTCTATGTTACATTTATCATCGGTATGAGGCTCTCAAAGAGGAATTTCTCCATCTTTGTTCCTTCTGAGGAATCGCGCTGTGCTTTTAGCTAGTAGACCCTATAATACATCATGTAACTGATAGCATTTTCCTCTGTACTGTCAGCTTGAAAGCAGAGAGTCAAATTTTTGCTCACTTATAACAAACCATTGGATTTTCGTGGATGCATTTGAATTCTAGGCTCATTCCTCACCTTTAAAAAGTCAGTTATGGCTGCTATACATCTGGTTATATATCTTTATAATCCACTTAAAATACTTTCTGGATCAAACCAGACTTAAAAATGCCTAGGCATGTTTAGATCCCATAATCCATGTACTAATTCATGAAAATGCATGATAAATTTAAGTACCACACTATTTGATATAAAGAACTTTATTCTAAAATAATTACACCTTCTTTGAAATTGCAAAAGGATTTATACAGAATAACCTTAGCCTTAATTTCTAAAATCAAACTAATTACAAAAAAATCTGTAAGATGATTATCAAAACTTGAGGTTCAAGGAAATGTATATTTCCTGAGACACATCTTTTTTTTGCTTAAGGTCTGAAATGGGTTGGCTCCCCATTTTATGCTCAGTACTGAAAACAATGTATCGGCAAAGATTCATTCTGTTTTTGTATTTCAAAAATCTCCAAAGAAAGAACTTTTAAACTTTATGATTTAAAATATTTTTTTTTGTAACCACGCATTAAATTGCATTGAAGCAGAATTGTTTTTAAATTGGATCCACATAGACAAGACAAAGATAAATGTAACTTATGGAAAATTTATAGAAATATTTTTAGTTCAGTGAAGCATATTAACTTGTGTTGGTGTTCTGAATGATCAGTTTTAGGAAACATGAACAAAAAAGCAAACAGTCAATGATCGGTATGAAATTGAGTCAAGATGACAGAAGATACTTTAAAAACACTGAACCAAGTGTTCTTGAGGCATTCTGGGCATGAGGCATGACAGTCATGAGGTCATAGATTTGCCCTGGGAACAAGTGAGTGATTCTACATTTGGATACTGAAGAGCAGAGATGCTCCTTACGAATCAGCTTGGGTTAATTTTGACAATTATATATATACTTTACATAAGGCACAGAGAGTATAATATGACCTAGTCAGAAGGTCAAAAGCCTGAAATCAGATCCAACTGTTCTTTTACTTCTCAGAGAGAACATTTCTAAATCTTTTATTTAAAGAAATAAAATAAAATAAAATAAAATGGTCCATTTCAAAAGTATAAATAAAATTTTTGTTTGAATCTCTTTTGTATTCATTTGATAGTTCAGAAATTTCTGTAAAGTTCTGCTTCTCTACTTCTTAACTTTATCAGTCCACCTGGAGAAAACATGAGGTCAACTATGTATCCTTCAAGGGGTGGGACACCCCCAACCTTACGAGTTTCACTCATCAGCTTAACTTCATTCCAGGCTCTGCCATACTCCCCTCGAACCAGAGAGCAACCGACACCAATTTTATCAGCCAGAGCCTGTGGGAGAAAACATGAGATCAACCATGAGTGAGGAGGGAGAGGGGTGAAGGAAAACCCTGTGCTAAGGCCCATTTTGGGTGAAGGTGAAACAACCAACTCTTGCCTAGACGTGCTAAGAAGGAAGACTGAAAAAAAAAGTGGAATATTGAGATAGAAAGCAATAAAATGTCTGAAGATGTATTTGTAGAGTAGGAAATCCAAGGAAATAGCAAAGATTTGCATTTAGATTCTAAACAGAATTGGTTTGTAATTGGAGACAAGCTACATATGGATGCAGTGAGGTGTCTGTGAGAGGGTTGGAATTTTATATATTCGGTCAACAGTTTCTCAGGTTCATTATATATATCAGACAGTGGATATGATGGAGGAAAAGATCAACCCCTCCCTTAAACCTGACTTTCTAGTGTCCTCCGTCTCAGTGAATGCTGACATCATTACCAACTGCCTGCCAAAATGAACTGAAATCACTTTGCTCTTCTCATGCAGTGTCTCATGCCACACAAGGAAGCCAGTAAGTCTTAGCTCCAGACCTTCCTCTAACTTCATGACTCCTTCTGCATCCTCACACTCATGGCTTTGGTAGATCTGAGCAAAATCTCACTCTTCTAGGTCCAGCGTGACTATTTAGCTGCTGTCTTGTTCCTGCTCTGCATCATTCCCCATTTGTACCTGAGTGATCTTGCAAAATTATGTCACCCCCGCCCCTATTCAGATTTTCAGAGGTTCACATGTTGGTATCCTTTAGTCTCATGTAAATCTTCCTTTCCATTCAAACTCTTCTAGATTCCACAAATGAATGATGGACTCTCATTTATTCTGTATAAAATGTTTACTTTGCTTAGAATACTTTTGTCTTATTTCTTTACCTGATGAAATACTTCACTTTTTCTTCAGAAGCCTTTCCTAATAGCTCTTGGAGTCCACAAGGGTCTGGATAAGATATACCAGGTGTGCAGCTTAGGTCTATTACTCTCAGTCACTAGGAAAGGCCCTGACCTACAGTAGGTAAATGATAAATATTGAATGAAAATACTCCTGATAGCTTGGTGAATACCTATGCATGTATATATGTATGCATGTATATATATATGTATGTATATATGTATAGATCTGTACCACATGTGTGTCAAATGTTAAGTACATCTAAAATGATAGGATCAGTATTATCCAGCAAAATGTTAACATCTGGCTTGCTCCATTATAAGGACAAAACATTTTTTTATAATGGCAAATGAGCAAAACATCTTAAATACCTTGAAAAGCAAAGCTCGATGATAGAAGACTCCTTTCTTGATGAGTCCAATTGGTATAACATTGGATTTAAGTTGAAATTTTAGTTCACTTAAGTGATGTTCCCAGTTGAAATCGTTAAGTTTCTCTTTTGAAACTTTACCACCCATTTTTTCTGCCACATACCTGTGTTAATTACATTAAGATCAGATTGATTAAGTTTAATATCTCACTTTGGATGCTTTGAATGGAATTCCATGTATAAAAACTATATTCCCTCTGATTTTGTTTGCTATGCTTTAAACAATATATTAATACAATTATCATATCTTTATAATTACAATGTTTAAACTATCGCATATAAAAATAAAATTCCATTCAATACAAAGTATTGTTAATCTTCCCAATATTTACAACAAGATACAAATAAATATTACATTAAATTTATATCAATGCAGTTTTCAAATGTTATCTTTCCCTTGGAAAACATTTCTAAATGTTTAAATACAAATCCAAGGCTTGAACTAATGTGGCCCTTCTTTTAAGAAATTCAGTCTCAGAGACAAAACAGAAAAATTTTAATTACATTAAGAAATTTCAAGTTTAATCTTTGTGTGTGTGTGTGTGTTAACCACTTGAATTTAAAGAAAGACCAAATATCTAGCACTGAAGTTACAGAAAAGAGGAAAAGGCAACAAGGAAAAATACTTAGGTGGGGACTGGAGTGGGGTGTGTACGTTGCCTGTGGGTTTCTCCTAATAATTCTAGGCTCGCATTCAAGAAGTAAGTCAACACACTTGCCAAGACCCTGTCAACTAAGCTAGCACACTCTGGGGGCAAAGACGAAAGTGCAGATTTTAGAGAGAGAATTTCCACTTACTCTATGTGGAACTAAGTGAGAAAAGTGATGTTAAAAGAGAGAAAAAGTCAGCAAGATTGCAGGTCGGGCAGAGAGCAGCTGAGCTGACCCTCAGCCCTGCCTAGTCAGTGAACTAGTGGTGCTAAGGAACCAAAGCCTGGGGCCAACTCTGTATCTCTATCCTGGTCTGGGGTCAGGTTAAAGCAGCAGTGATTACTTGGGATGATGGAAAGTATTTCTGACAGGGACAAAGCCTGAGGAAATTTGACTCATGTTGAAATGAGCTGATGAGGTTCTGCTTGAGTCATCACTTCTCAAGGACACCAGGAAAACTTCAACAGCCAAAAATGTTCTCTCCGGCCCTCCCTGGTGGCGCGGCGGGTTAAAGCACAGCACTGAGAAGCTAAAGGCACTTCCGCATGAGTTCGATCCCCGCCTGCCCCGGAGGTGACCACATGGCGCGGCAGACCTCTCCTGACCCGCCCGCTGCTCCCCTCAGCGGTGTACTTCGTCGATCTGCCTGTTCTGCTCCCCACTGTTCCTGGTGAATCCTCTCACCCTCCACACCTCTGGCCTGTACCCCAGTTCTGTATAAATAAATAAATCTTTAAAAAAAAAAGTTCTCTCCACTTCTGAGAAATCAATAATCTGGTAGCTGTTTCTTGCAGTTGTCATATCCAGGTCGATAACTGGAACCCACTGCTATTGCAGTCGGACGATCCCCTGCGGAGACGGCAGCTGTTGCACTATGCAGCAGCAGCAGCAGCAAGTCGTGCCGGTCAGGGTGTCACCAGGCTACCTTCCACTTCTGGTGATTCCCTGACGCCTGCCATGGCCGTCCTCAGCCCCTTAGTGGCATCAAATGAAGAGCTGTGATGAAGGCTACACCACTGCCTTACCCAGAGCTCTGCGTCTGCCCAAGTGGTACAACCTCCCTTCCCAGCAAGAGAAGCACAAAATATCTGACTTTAAAAAATAAGACTTTTTTTTTTTGTTAGAGACTAAGTTGTGAAGTTATAAATAATTTACAGCAGGGGTTCTTTAAAATGGGAGAACCCCATATGGAATATTAATTTTCAGACTTTGAAGTCATTCATAAGAATTCAGGATCACTTAGGATTGAATGATGTTTTTAATGGTTTAGCTTGAGAAAATAACATAAGCATTTTTCCTTAATCAATTTCCTGCTCTTTGCTCTAATTTTTGGTACTTAAAATAGAAATGAAGAATGTGTTGTAAATTGATTGTATTTCTACTTCAGAATCAGAGGCAAAGTGCTATAATGTTCCATTTCATTATGGTATAGTTACCTGAAAATTAGCAAAAAAAATGCAAACTACTGAAGTAAAAATATTTTTCCCCCAAATTAAAAATGTTGATATACTTGTAGACAACTTACTTTGCAAGAGTCTCAATCTGTACCTTAATATTCATTATGGGAAGAATTGACTTGGTCACTTCATGCACATACACACAGAAGTCAGGGTCACAGGGAGGGTGCCAGTCTTTTTCAGGGCTTCCTTCTCCAGTAATTTTTTCTTCTTCTTTCTCTCCTTTGCCTTTCCTTTGAGAGTAAATAGCAGCAATCCAAATCATAAAATAAACAAACATTAAATGTGCTATGAGCTAATCTCAAGAGCATTACAGAAATATAGTATTTTATGACTCAACAATCATATGTAGTTTTCAGATTTTCAATCATAGTTTTATACTTTCTATATTATACAGGAGGGGTTAATATTCCAAGATGGCTACATGATAGTTACATATAGTATAAAAACCATATTCTGACTTTCTGCACAATTGCTATGATGCCAGGTACATAGTAGGTATGTAATAAACATGCACTATATTGGGGGAAAAAACAGATTACCTTTCCAGGGAGGGTATATCTTGCTTTGGCTGAGACTTTCTGCAAGAAGAATTTGTATTTTGATTTTTGAGAAAAATTATCAAAAACATGGAAAAAAGCCCAAAGCAAAATAAGGATGGCAAATGATACTTTTTACATCATTTGGAGGTGCAAAGACTTCTGATGTTTATCAAGGCAAATGTACTTAGTTCCATACACAGGAAAATTGGAATGAACTTTTAATTATTTAACTAAAAAATCATATTAATAAAAATTTCCTGACTTAGAGAAGGTACTAGTTAACAGCATAGGTTTTTTTTTTTTTTTTTTTCAGGATACCAATCTTTAGGCAAAAGATTCTCTCAGAAGGTTAAATAGGGCATTGTCCTGTAGGGTGTTACCTTTTTTTATGTAAGTCAGCAATCATTTTCTAACATTCACTAACTAAATTGAATAGAAACATCTAGTTCCTTCAGTGTTCTTTGAACCAGTATTGATATCTCACTGATTCTGTCATTAAACCCACATCATTACTGAACAAAGGCATTAAACATGAGCAAGATGGCTGCAAAAGATATTTGAAGAGTCCAAAAAATATGCAGAGACTGGAAGAGCAGTGCTGGCCACCAACTGATGGTGGATTGAAAGAGACAGGGAGAGACAAAGCTATTTTTTCAACATACCTTATGAGTCCTGCTTGCTTCAACATACACCATAGGCAAGCTTCCTACTTCAAAACTAACCCATCCTTTCACTGACTTTGTTACATAATTAAAACATAATATTGCTATAATAACATATTTCTTACCTCATTCCTCTTTCTTTGATGGCACTTTTGCTAAGAGCTGTATTTCGTCCAGAAGTAGGTTCCAATTTCTCTTCGGTGGGAGATCCAAATCCAGCACTAAAATGGTGATTGTTTTTCCTTATCATTTGAAGGAGAAAACACAATTTCAATGATATGAAAAGGAGCAATGTTAGATTTACTAGGCATTTAGTAATCTACAAGGCATTTATTTATACTTTCTCGATATGCTTTGATTCCTTTCACCATCATGAAGCAGAGCTGCAGGCATCTACTGACGAGGAAACCAGTCCTGCTCCCCGATACTAGGTCCTGCTGTCAGTCTCAGTGTGGGGTCACAACAGACAGGACGTGGAGCTGTTTCCTGACTCCCTTTACAGAGACTTTTCCACAGCAACTTTAAAAGCATTTATGAAATTATATTACTGGAATTGAATAAGAATCAAGTTGCCAAAATCTAAACCCTATTTTTTTGGGGGGATGATTTAACATTTAACAGGAGAAATACCTGAGTATAGATTAAACTTGGTTTTTTACATGGACTTTTCTTTACTGGTGCTCCTTAAAGATGAAGAAGATGAAGAAATATTTCATCCATGACCAGTGACTAAATGGAGGTGGGGAATTAAAATTTCAGATACTTGCATTCAGATTCAATTAGATTAATTTGTCTGAATAGACTTTGTCCTATAAGAGATCTTTAAATCATGTTTGGAACTGATTTTTTAATAGAAAATATTTTAAAGCACAAAGGAGGGTTAAGAAAAGACACATAGAATATTATAAAGCTCTTTGTGAGCAAAAAGGGGAAATTTTAAAATGAAATATACAGATTTAATGGCTTTTGTGACAGATTCATATTTTTTGAGGTTTTTGAGCTGCTTATGTCTTTAGTCAGAGGCTTCAGGCCCCGACTATGTGTCTTTGCAGGGACATTGAGTGTCCTCACAAATGGCAGCTAGCTTTTCCTTGGTGACAACTATGAGAAAAATAACAAAGTCTCTTATAATCTAAGTTTGGAAGTGACACTGTCATTTCCTGTTGGTTTCACATTCAGCCGTGGGGCAGGACCACATTAGTAGGCAGGATGTAGAAAATTTTAGTAACTATCTTGGGGTCTGCTTACTATAAATGAGGTGCTACAAGCCTACTTCTGAGAACAGCTGATGTGGAAACAGGAAAAGTCTGAGAGTGGAACTGTGGAAGTTCCACAAAACATTTTTTGGGGGATGAAATTAATTAAAATGTGTAAATTCAAGGGAATCATTTTATAGAATGCACATGTATTGAGCAGATACTTTTCCCTTAGAAATCAAAAGTCTGGGGGAGGGAAGTGCACTGGACTATGGTGATGGCACAGGGGTGATTTGGTGATGGGAAGCCCATGGGGATTACAACTGAGATGGAAAAAGGCACAAAGCGACGTAACAACAAACTGTTATATTGTTAAGAAAAATGGGAAGATGTAGGACGTATAGATGAGAGTTGTTGCTCAACTCCATAATAGCTCCAGAGAAAGTAACATTTATCTCAAATAGGAAATGCAAAAGGAGTTGTTAGTGTAGTTCTTAAGAAAAGGTCTAAAAAATAAGAATCATTTGAAACTTATGTTAATAAAAATGTAAAATATATGAAACAATAGCATTAAAGAATGATGTATTAATTAAAAAAAAAAAAGAAATCAGAAGCCTGGGCCCTCTGTTTTCTGCTCACAATCATAAAATGGTAAAATGTAAGTCATTGAACAGTCACTCCAATAAGCTGTTATCGGCAGTGATAGTACTCTCTCTTCTTTTGAAGTTTGAATGTAGTCATTGGTTTTTATTTTAGATATTGATATGATGTCAATTTACATCATTATTTGTCTTAGAGGTATAGGATCTCCCCCTTCAAGTGCTGAGGCTCCACCACTCCATGAAAGCACACATGAGCCATCTTGTGCCCTTTCCACTTTGTTCTCGCCCCTTCTACTAGTTTATGTCTGTTTTAGAGAAGAGTGGTGAAGTTTTGTTAGCTGAACTATTTATTTCTGACTTTACTAAGAAAAACAGTGGACAGTAATTGTACACCTGCATATTATCTGGAGATGTGTAAACACATTTCATGCCAGCTTGTCCCAACCTACTTATACTTTGTTCATTTACTTCATGTTACCAGGACTTAAGATGTCTAAACTGCAGAAATACATATTAAATTGACTGATAACTTGGGGTTAAAGGAAAAATGATGGTAGCAGTTATGTTATGGTCTTTATTATGGCAGGCAATGGGTTTATGGACCAGCATTTACTTTCATGGTGGTGCTATCTTCAGGGAAAAGGAGATGGACAAACAAAAATTTGTCCCTCTTCCCTCCAAAGACTCACACATCAGAAGGTTTACAGTTAATTAAGAGTGTAGCACGCAGACCACTCGGTTCTTCCAAGCAGAGTTCCTTCAGAGGCAAAAGTTTGGTGCCACGATTTATCTGTAGATAATTTAAGGACTTGTAAGTAATATCCACATGGGCATATTTAAAAACATATTGATGGAATATTTCTCAACTGTTTAAGCTAAAATAGCACTCTCTCATTCACACACACATGCACAAGCTTATATATACACAAACACACAATTAGAATGGCAGCTTGAAATGTGTAGAACTCCTGCCTTTGGGCAGATAATGTATTTAGTTTCCCACAACCTCTACTGCCTATACTCAGTTGTTTCTCACCACAATTACTCTCTTGATACCTGAAAATAGTTGAGCTTGTAAATCCATCTATATACAAAAGGAAGAACATATTGTCTGTAAAAAATAATAACTTAGTCAACAAAAGGTCAGGATGTCTAAAAATAGGCCAAAGTCTTGCACTGACAATTCTTCCAGCCTGATGAGCAGGGTTAGATCAGAGAACATTCTGAGGTCTTTTTCCAATCAAGTTACAGTTAGATTTCTCTGTCATCCAAGTTGCTTTTCCTAATCATTTTAAAGTTCAGTTGATTATGACACACTGTGCAGAACTCTGCCATAGTTTCCAACATAGTTCAGAGTAAAGGCTAAAATCCTTCCAATGTTTTACCACACTTCTTTTTCCTTTTCGGATACAGTTGCGATTCTTCTGTTTTTGTTTCATTTAGCTCCTGTTATGCTGCACTTACTGTTGCTTGAATATGTCAACATGTTTATGTTTTCTACACCAGCTATTTCCTTTGCTACAAATTCTTCCCCCTATTTCATCCTCTCAGTGAGGTCTCACCCACTACGATGTCAAAAATTACAACCACCAACCCTGTCACTTAAAGTCTCTTTACCCCACCTCTGTTTTTTCCCCTTCTATCCATAGATCTTACCCTAACCCTGTGATATAATCATGTATATATTCTCACTGGTACCATGGGATAAGAGATACTTGTCTTTTTGGTTCACTGCAATTTTTAAAAATGAATGGCTCAATAACAAGCAGAATCCAGTGGAAAGATCAAGATCTCCATTTATGAATTAAATTGGAATGAACCAATTATAATTTGCAATCTCCATAATTCCTGTCCCTAATCCAAGTCATAATTTTTAAAAACCTCTGATCTACTTCAGGCCAGCAGGTAGATTTGAGGTTTTCCTCCTGCCACCTTGCCAAATGGACCTAGCAATAAAATCTCCTTTTTCAAAATCTGGTGACACAACATTGGCTTTCATGCCAACTATGAAGTGAGACCTGGCTCAGTAACATAGCTGTTTGTCACCATTCTCCATAACTCTAATTCTGTTATCGAGATAAAACTTTCCCTGCAAATATGAGTGAGCTATATATTTCATTTATAGGACTGTCACTTCTGATTTGTTGAACCAAACTGTCCTCAGTGGGCTGCCATTGGCAGACTTACCCCTTTCTCTCAGGTCCTACACCACTTGACTGGCAAAACATGTAACGTTTCCATCTCTGAATTTTCTCATCATCTCAGGAAGTACAATTGATTCTTGAACAACACAGGTTTGAACTACTACTCCAGAAAGATTTTTTTTCTAGTCACTGGATTCTACATTTGGGTCTTAGTAATCAACCATCCCCAATAATGATTAACTAAACCTACACACTTAAGATACTACAGATAGAGTGCCAAGTTGTAAATGAATTTTCTACTAAGCATGGCAGTGAGCGTACCTAACTCCCTTGCTCAAAAATCAACTGTAAGATGGCCCTTCCTAGTGGAACAGCGAGTTAAAGCACAGCACCATGGAGTGAGCCGCAGCCACTGCAGCATGAGTTCGATCCCCAGCCAAGGAGGTGACCCACATGACATGGCAGACCTCTCCTGTCTCGCCTGCTGCTCACCTCAGCAGTTTACTTCAGTACATGTACCAGTTCTGCTCCCCACTCTGTCTCTGGTGAATTCTCTTTCCCCCTCACCCCCAATACCTCTGGCCTGTATCCCAGTGCTTGTATGCATAAATAAATCTTTTTAAAACATCAACTTAAGTATTTTTGATAATGCTTTCTGAGATTTGTCCATTTCCTCTTTCATTCCTTTGAACTATTTTTTCCCCTTTGCATTCTTTCTCTTGCAGTTTGTCCATGATCCTAGGAGCTTTTAGTAACCAATAATTTTTTTTGAAAGCTGTGGTTTTGCCTAAAATGGGATTTTTAGGTTTTAAAATATTTCCCAATTCTCTTTTCTGCTCTTTTAAATAGCAGTAGATGTTGTCTTAATAGCACTATGGAAACGTCTCCAAGAATCTAATTTTGAGCTTCTTGTTTCTCAAAATTAATACTGAATTACACTACATACTTTTAAAATCATAATTGGAAATTCACATGAGTAAAATAATATACTTTTGTACTACGTTTTATAATTTGGTTAATTTCACTAAGACTATAATTAATAAAATAAAAAACTTATACTTCTTATTACTGAACCAAACAACTTAGGGTAACAGAACCCTAACACTGAAAATGTCTCTTCTTTTTTATTTTCTCTGAAACTTGAGACTAGCATTAGTAAGCTGATTTAAGTATAAGTATTCAGATTCCAGTTTTAAACTACATACAGAAGCAAAATATACAGACAAAATGAAGGATAAAATTCTGTCAATTCCTGTCTAAAAAATATAAGTTATGTTAGTTGGTGATAATATTTCAATGTAGTTGCATGATGATTAAAGAAGAAATTATCATACACACTAAAATATAATTTAGTTCTGCCACTTACCCGTCCATAATCATAGAATCCATCACTAATGATATTGCTTGATGACAAATATCCCATCTGGCTATATTTCAGGGACAGGTTGTAGTTGAGCAATTTGTTATAAGCTGCCTCACTGAATTTATTTTGTCGAGTTACTGAAAGATTAATATCTTCAAGGATATCTAAAGCCCTGTCAATAAAAGTAAAAAGCACTAATTGTTTTATAAAAGCAATCCAGCGTTAAGTTTTATTTATATACTTAGCTAAAAATCTCAAGGAATAGCTGAGATGGAAGTTTTAAATCCATCCCAAATCTTTCAGATAAAGTCATACTGACAGAATTATGAAAACAAATCAGTCCTTTTTGGGAATAACATGCCATGAAGTAACAAATATTGAAACAGTGGAAAGGGATAGTTTCTGCTTCCTTTAAAGCAGAAACTGCATTAGACTCCAGCTTTTTTAGTCAAACAGGCAATATATACGAAGAATAAAAATGGCTACAAGTAGAGTAAACCTGTCTGTGCAACCTTAAAACCCACTTGTGACAAGCCAGAGGCAACTTACTCATCTGCTGGTGAGATAGAATTTGGAGAGGGGCTAAATGCTGCTGAGATTTTGATGGAGAGATTTGGATGGGTGGGGGGAGAAGAATGGAGATGGTAGTCTTGGCTCATCCATTTTATTTTAGCTTTGGAAGTTGAGACACAAACAGGATTGTGTTTAGAACAGCAGAGGTAAGTGAAGGAGAAATACTTATCAAGATGAAAAATGAGGAGGGGTGAGAGGCGAAGGTCAAGGGCCAGTTGTGTTTTGGAGGATGGAAACTGGCCTTTGGGTGGTGAACACAGTGTCCTAGGTACAGATGTTGAATGGTAATGCTGTACAAGTAACACCTATAGAATATTATAAACCAGGTTAATCTTAAGTTTTTCATTACAATTTTAATTTTAAAATAAAAATAAATAAATTTTATTTTATTATAATAAAACATGATAAATAATACATTTAAATTTAAATGTCGATTTAAATATAAAGTAATAACAATAAATTTAAAGATGAAAAGATGTAAAAAGAAATGCAAATATTCATATTCATGAATATGATTCTACAAAGGTTGGGGTAGCTCTGGGGAGTTGGGGTCGGGCATGGGCACCTTTCCCTAGGCAGTCCTTTCAGAGGGAAGAATCATGCACGGAATAGGAGGAATCCCTTCTTGACTTTCTGTGAGCCTGAAGCATCTGATGCTACATTATCTGCTCTTCATCTGAGCCAATACTTGGCACAGCGTCCACTCACCCAAGCCGGAAGAATTCGGTGGCCATCAATTCATCGCTGGCGCAGACCATCACAGCCCAGCTCGCGTGCCTCCGGACTTCACTATTCTTAGAGCGCAGGAGCTCCACCAGGGGTTCCAGCCCCCCTAAATTTCTTAACTGAAAGTAGACATCAAAATGCTGTGCATTAAGGGTACAGGATGTAAGCCTCTGTGCTTTAAAATATCTCACTATTTGATTGTGCAAGGTGTTTTCTATGGAGAAGAGACAGGAGGCAAGCCTTGCGGGACTGCAGGGTTACAGGGCGTGTGCCTGTTGGCCAGGTAACACCAGTTGATTTTGCAGAATACTGTACCAATCGTGAAGGACTTAAGAGCTAGGTTGGTTCAAACACCTGACACTGTTTCAGAGTGATCCGCCAATGAGCGTGGCCTGAAAGAACGAGAGAATCCACGTTGCTAGAACACTAACCTCTGTCCGGGCCTCAAAGTCACAGGCAGTGGCAGCGACGGCCAGAGCCGCCTTGCTCTGCACCACGGTGCTGGCCGAACGCAGAGGCCCGAGGAGGGCCTGCATGACGCCGCGGGCCTGGATGGCCACGCGCAGAGGCTCCTGCATGGCCATGTTGGTTAAGGCGGCCGCAGCACTGGCGATGGCCCCTTCTCGCGTGCTGGACAGGGTGTTTATTAATGGGCCGATCCCATCAGCTTCTGCGACAGCGCTGGGTACATGAGGGAGAAAGGAAAACATCTTGGCGCACAGACAGCTTCTAAACAAATGAGTACCTAAGTTAACTTCAGAAATAAATTAGTTTCAATGAGATGGATCCAGATTAAAAGGAATCTGGGAGCATGTTAAAGAACTTTTAAAATCCCTTTTTTACTTTTATAGCTGTGGTTACAGAAAAATGCATGACTGCTTCTTAGAAACTCTACATAGTGGCTCATTTGTAAACTTAGTGATATAAACATGAAATAGAGCATTGTATTTAATAGAACATGAAAGTCTATTAAGACATTCTTAACCAATAGGAAAAAAAAAAAAACAAACTTTAACTAGGAAGAATGAGTAAACGTGAGAACTTAAAATTCTTTAATCCATCATTCTCCTTTTTATATGAAGTCATCAATTGTAGGCAAAGGTTAACACAGTTGAAACCAGAAAATCATTCTGGAGGTGGTATTTTAACAGTGTGGTCCCCAAGAAAAGGGGACGTTGCAGGTTCCCTGCTCCGCTCAGAAGGAGGGCAGAGCTAGGGAAGAGAGTAGAGGAATCTGGAGAGGAGACTGAATTGGAGGAAGCAGGATGGAGGCCAGAAGGAGACCTGAGGGAGGCACACGGAGCAGAGAGATACATGGAGACACGGCTTGCTCCTTGGTCTTGGGTGGTTGAAACAGATGTCGGTGAGAGAACTGTGGGGAGGTTGACTGTGGCAGCGTTTATCTTGACTTTGATTTTGCTTTTTTCCTCCAGACTTGTCTGGCCATTTCTGATCCTTTCTCATGGGTCCCTACCAGAAAGTGCTTTAGACTCGTGGCAGACTTTCAGGTCTTTCTTTGGCCTAATCCCTTTTGGGTGGACTTTTACCCATGAGGGGATGGGTAACTTTGGGTGTTTGATTTAGAAATTATATTCTTGGTCTTTTCTGTATTGCACACTCATTGTATTAAAGTTACTTTCCATTAAAGATATTATATATTTAGACTTGATGTGGTAGATGGCAGAACCTACTTAGAGCAGGCAGGTTTGGGGGTTTAGGAGTGTCCCTCTCTCCCTGCTCTGTAACAGTATTGCTTTTACAAATCAAACATCAAAGATTAATATCATGATATTGATATAAACAGATAACTCAGTAACAGAGCAGTTGTTACATGTCCTATTTCCAACATAAAGAGTACTGTCATCTATTGCTATATTAGTAATTGTTACAATTATAAAATCTAGACTTTTAACAGTATCATATGTACCATATTCTTGTTTTGTAATTACTTAAATATTTCCTTTGCAATAACTTAAATAACCTTTACTTAATAAAAGAGTAAAATAATTTAAAAGATCTTTTTAACAAATGCAGATAATTATATCTTGTAATGTTTGGAGCTACTACATACAAATAAAGGATGTTCCAAGCAATAAATTTTAGAGAGCATACTGGTTTTAAAAGAATAACTCAAGTTATGTTTTAAAAATCTGTTTAAATCATCATGGTAATAGAGGTAATTAGGACAATAAAATCTTCAGACTTCAATATTTTGAACATCTCTACCTCTTTTCATTTGAATTGTATTAACAACCAACATTGGGGGGGGAGGGGAATGGTGCTATATTATTTAGTCCATCCCTTGGATTCTGATGAAGTTAGATTGAATTTCATACTATACTAAATTTTCTGATTAAATGAGAATTGACAACATTGAGAACAGAAATTATCACAAATATCCATCAGAGAGCATAATACAAGTAAAATCTGTCATGAGATTGTTAGCAACAGGTGAAAGGAAGCTGTGATTGTGCAATCAGGTCCTGAGGGAGACAGAACAGCAAGGATTGGGCAGGAAGCAAAGTTTATAGTGTCCACCATCTGAGATGGTGCTAACTCATCTCAGATGGTGTTAAATTAACTTTATAATTTTTTAAAGATTTATTGTTGCATATAAGAACTGGGGTACAGGACAAAGGTGTGGAGGGTGGGGTGCGGGGGTAGATTCACCAGAGACAGAGTGGGGAACAGAACAGGCAGATTGATTGAAATACACTGCTGAGGGGAGCAGCAGGTGAGACAGGAGAGGTCTTCTGGGCCATGTGGGTCACCTCCCTGGCTGGGGATCGAACTTATACTGCAGTGGCTGCGGCTGGCTTCATAATGTTGCACTTTAACAACTCTTGAGCCACCAAGGAAGGCCAGTGTTAACTTTAAATGAAACTCCACTCCTGGCTTATACAATTGCTCCTAGAAACACACCGTGTCTTGATACGAGGCAACAATGGTATCCAGGTCCATTTCTCCCACACTCCAGTCCTTCTTGTAGCATCTCCCATTCTTTCTCAGAAAAGTCCCTTAAAAGTAAAATTTGGTTGGGTGGCTTTTACATAAAAATAATGAAAGGTCCTGTATCTCAATGTGATATACTGAGAGCCCACATCAAATTTCTTTCCCTGAGGGATAAAATAAACACTCAAGATAATTTTACTTTTAATTTCTCTCACATTATAAATTGATATGAAGGTCATTTGATTTTTGTGAATAAGAGAACATTTGGAGTGCTAACAGTTTATTAAAAAATTCTAAAATTTTTATAGAGTCAAACACTGAATTTTAAAATATTTGCCAGCAAGAATTTAAATTACAAATATCTTGTAATTACTGTCCTTAAACCTTTTCAAAAAATTTCCTTTTTCTTTCACTTGCTATTCAAGCATTTAATGCAATCAGTCCCTTAAATTAAAGAAATACTTGGTAGATTTTCATCATTATAAGCAAAGTACAATTCCTTTATTACTTACTTAGTGTTTTGTTCTTTGATAATGTTCACTTGTAAAAATGTGTTGAAGAGAAAAGGAAGAGGATACAATGGAGGTAATTCAAGGGCATGCACAACAGAAGCTAGACTATTTCAGGTAAACCAATACCTAAATATTAGAGGCTCTGTGTTTTTTGGATCAGAAAGTTTTAGGCACATTTCAGTGCCGAGGACCACACTCCATCATTTGAACCTCCTTATTTATTAAATATTGAGTCATGAGATCCAGGAATTTTCATCAGCTGTATCTCTACATACAGTCTTTTGATAGGCTTTTGTCTGACCTTGGTTCATTTCTATCTCTACCTTCTGCTCTTTCTTTTATGGAGGCAGTAAATGGATTTACTTAAAGAATATAGCTGCTCAAAAATCCAAAGTTTCTAGCACACAGTGGAATAGAGCTTTTACTAAATTGAACATAACGGCCAACATCAAAAGACAAACCCTGCATGCACAGCTGAGAGCACAACTTGCATTATGTACATGTGAGCTGTGGGTCGCTGCACAGCTCTGACTGAGTGTAGAGAGCACAACTGAGGTGAAATTAACATAGTGAAAAAAGCAAGCTATTGCTCATAGTTAAAAAAAAAAAGACTAATTTCACTTATAGAATTAGACTGTAAAATTTGTATTTTTCCCAAAGAATTGCATTAATTTTCTTTCAAACCCAAGACATACTGCTTTACTTTCCCCTGGCTAGTGTAGCATTTTCCAAATGAGTGGGACAGAAGTCAAATTACTTTGTTACAAAATGCAGTATTAGAAGGGCAGATGTCATCATACTAGTCTGAAAATATTTTCTAATATTTACTATGATTAACTTCCATCCAGATGGAGTTAAATCAAGTAAGAATTTAACATTTAAACTGAAACAGGCTAAAAACCAAATATGGGAGTGGATAAAAACATGTCTATGTCATCTGACACATGTACACAGAAGTGAAGTGACATGTCCTGTGCATCCAACTTATCACCGAGTCCTGTTTTCCTCCTCTGTGCTTTTCACATCTCTCCTTTTCTCATCACCATTTCCCTCCAAGTCCAAACCAACACTCTCTCCGTGCTCTGATACACAGGGATTGATACACTCCTCTACCAAGCCTCTCCACTCTTCCTTTAATCCTTTCTCCATCTTACAACAAAAATGAGTTTTAAAATAATAAATATAATCATGTTTGCCACCCATGTGAAACTTTCATGGTTTCTCATTGCTCAGGATGAATCCCCAAATTTCTCTGGGCCCTGTGAGAGGGACCCCGCCTTCTCCAGTCCCTAGGGTCAAGGAAGTTTTAATTGCCTTGAATCAACTCCAGGGGAGTGATGAGAACATCTCTGCAGGTGTCAAGTAGGGGTGAGGGGAGTGTACTCAGCTCAGCTTTAAGTTTGCAAGTGTGTAAGTCCCAGCAAATGGGGGAGCCCCACTTTCATCATTATAGTTGTTCCTGAATCAGTTCACCTTCCCCCCAGCATCCCTAATTATGTGGGGAAGTGATTTCTACATGGAGATGAAGAAATGCAAATTTGCATCATTGACAACCTCTTAGCAGTATGAATGTCTTATCAGTTGTACCTGTCAGAATGTGGCCTTTGCTGCATTTAGGAGGTTCACATTTAGCTCTTCTGTAGAGCTGGTTCCATGAATCAAGGGTGACCTTGGGTTTCAACCCGTGTAACAGAGTCCTCACATAGGCTAATATGTGGGACTCGGTGGAGCAGATGGCAATGTTGGCAGCCAGAACCTTGTTTGCTAGCGGTGGTTATGACAACCTGCCCCCAGCATGACTTTTCATGTCTCCCTGAGGAGACATGTCTGTCACACCAAGGAAGGCATGTTGGTGGTAGGCCTCCTGCAAGTGGTCAGAGAGGGGCATCTGGCTGACTCATGGCTAGCGAATCTTAGAATTACCTCAGTTCCGGGTGATTCTAAGCAGGTGTGTGTGTGTATGTGTGTGTGTGTGTGTGTGTGTGTGTGTGTGTGTCGGGGGTGGGGAGAGATACCCTGTCTTTTATGATAAACAGCTGGTTACCACAGCTAGATCTGGGGCGCTGGGAACAGGATTCCTGGCTCTCATTTCAGTCACCTTTTCTACAAAGGTAATGATCCAAGAAGTTGACTGTGCTCAACTTTGATCCCTTTCTAAGTCTAAAATAACTACTACCCACGGCTGCCCCACAGCTGCAGAAGCCTGGGATAGGTGGCCTCACATGCTGGGTGAACTCCAGGATTGAGCCAAAAGAATTTTCTTCTTTCAAGGAAATATTATTTAAAGGAGGTTTTTAGTAGTGAGGGAGAGAACTGCAATTAATTTCAGGCAAATGATTAAAGGGTTTAATGCGCATAATGACGAAAGTCAATTGCAAGCTTTAAAGAAGTGTTTAAAAGTATGTGAAACCACGTTGTTGCTGCCATATTGGTGTTCCTTACAAGGCTTGATTTTGAGACTTTTACAATGTGCTATTATGCTACAGTTGCTGTGACATATTCATAGTCACCGAGGCTCACAAAACTGGTAGCTAGTAGAATGATACGTTTGTAAAGACAGACTAGCCATGAATGGCCACAAAATTAAGATGTGGAATCATCTTGTTTAAGTACAAATCTATTCAGTATATTTCTCTATTTCTTCGACATTTTCCAGTCCAGTAAAACCTATGTTTATAACAACAACATTCCAGCAGGCTGAGAAGGAACCAAGGGCCCAACAAGAGAAGTGAAATGTATCCACTCAGTAAACTTGGATGGGGACACTGCAAGAATAATTCTTAAGTTTACCACGAAGCTTCTTTCCATATATTTTATCTATTAATTTCACAAAACTTTTAAACCACACGTCCAATGAGTTCTATAAAGTACTAAACTTTGTAGCCTCAATGCAAGAGACAAGTTACTGAAAAGTTTTGAAGCTACATCAGGTTATCTTGCAGGATGTTCCTGCTGTGAACTCTAATTCAGAAGATGAAGCATCTTACAACAAAGATAAATAAAAGTAGAATTGTAAAATCTTTTTTTGTACTATATAAAAAGCAAAAAAAAAAAAAAAATCAACTCTAGAGTAACCACAATAACGATGAGACTTATTAATTTATGCTGTTTAAGGGTATACTAGTCATGTAGTTATAGCCCAGACGATATTCAGACACTAAAAGTGTAAATGTATCCAAATGTTGTTGAATCATAGTACCTTAAAAAGGGAAGACAAAACCCCAGCATAAAGTAACACAATAAGCGGCAGAATTTTATGTCTTTGAAAACATCATGAAGAAATGCTTCTCCAATCACAATTTTTAAATGTTTTAAAAATATTATTTTAGACTCACCGAGAGAGCTTAAAATTAAATTGGTGTGTCGTTAATAAACGCTGCAATCCTTCCCTTACTTTTCGGCCCCTCCCCCAACTTCATCTTAAAGGGCCACTAGGGGGCAGTAGGAAGACACCGTTCCTCTCACTGTTACAAGGGAAAATGGAAGGCTCCAAAAACAGTTTCCCTGTGAAAAGACTTTATGCAACAAAGCCAGCAGTCACACTAGTTCAGCAAAATTGAGTCCAACGGATACATCAAGTCTCTAACATACGTTTGGATTTCTCAGGAGATTACCTATGGTCGAAGTGACAGGACTACCTATCAAGAAAACCTGTGTATATCAGATCTAGAACAGATGTTAAAATTTATTTCAAAGGATGATAGTACACATCCCTGGGGTTCACAAGGTATCTGTCCACCTGTTCTCACACAGATAACCTGGCGGGGAAGTGAAACGTAGTACTTTGCCAACTTTAAGAGGTGTTTTATTTTTCTTTTCCAAAATGATTAAATATCCAGAAAACTTGATAGGTTGGTATTCCATAGAATACTAACTAGGCAAGACCTTTAGGCAACAATTAAGGTGACGTTTATAAGCGAGGCTGAAAATCTTCCACAAAGACTGTAAGGGTGGTCTGGGGGTGACAGTTTAATAAGCAAAATCAGTATTCAAAACACACAACTGCATTAAAGATATCAGATTAACAATTTCAAGTATCCAAACAGGTATCAAATACACCTGGAAGGCACTAGCGCTAGGCTGTTGCCTTCTTCCATTACTTAGGTATAATGAAAAAGCAACATTCTAATTTTCTAATGCCCCCTCTGGCCACTCCACCAGCAGAAGTATGGATCAGCTTCCACTCCATAGCACTTTGCTAGAAATGGTGATGAAACAGATTGGTTCTAAAAGGCTATAATAGAAATAGTCACCAAATTTAGGCTAGTAGTCTTTTAAAGATGATATAAGGAGAGGATTTTTTTTTTTTAAATTGAAAACCACCGATCTGGGTATTTGAGGGAAAGTGGGAGGGGGTAAAGAAGGTCAATGGTGGATGGGAACTAGACTTCTGGTGGCGATGATAATGTAGTTTATATGGTGTTCTTAGCTGAAATATGATGTGGTACACGTGAATTATTATTGTTATAAACTGATGCCACTTCAATACAAATAATTATTAAAAATAACCAATCATTTTTGTTGTTTCTTCTGTTGTGTTTAGTTGTAGCAATTAATAGTCTGGTAAGCTTGCTAGAAAAATCAACAATGCTACGTATTTGTTTTCATTCCTTTTGGCTAACTATATATAGATTTTTTTTTAATCCCTCTTCAGCATTTAGTACAAATGTGCCAAACTTGATTCCATTTCTTTCTAAAACCACTTATTTTCAATAATTTTAATTCAAAAAGACTAAAGTAAAACTGTATAGACAATGAAGGGCATCCATTAACTAGGTTCACTCATGTCTTATTTCTCTTAACAAACTTCCTGTACCTGTGGATGAGCTCACGCTGGTCTCCTGGCCCCGGAACAACCCAAGCAAGTCAGACTGGGGCTGGGCACTTACTTCGCATTAGCCGGGTTGCAGGTGGTCAGGTTGGCCAGGGCAAGCGCGGCCGCTTCTCCCACCTCTTCACTGTCGCTTTTCAGCAACTGGATTAACTGCGGAATCCCTTTGGGAAGAATTAAATGTGACTTTACAAACATCCGTGTAAACAAGAACATGGCAACGTAAAAGTGTTCAAAGTAGGGTTTTCCACTTTGCTTACCCTGGGTATTGAAAACCTTCTTGCTGTCCGTATTCTCACACATTGCTGAAATGGCCTGGGAAGCAGCAATTTTAGTTCCATCATTTTCAGAACCCAACAGGGCTATAAGGCACTTTTCAACCTCTTGTTCATGGAAAAACTTTCTATTTTCAGCTTTCAATATCCAAAAGGAAAAAATATCAGACTTTTTCTGCAAAAATTATGGATTATATCTACCTCCTCAACCAAAATACAATGGGAATTCAAACTATTTATACTTTAGTGATATATATATATGTATATATGTATATATATATATATGTGTGTGTGTATATGTGTGTATATGTGTGTGTGCATATATATATATATGCATGTGCACCTATTATCCTTTAGAGCATAGCAACTGTGCAAAACAAATCATGCATACTGCACTTTTTCTTATTCCTATATATAATACCAATACTACAGAAAAGAAAATACTACAGGGAAGTGGCAAGGTTCAGGCTCAGCAAGAACTTCCTTAACACTAAGCATGCTCACTGAATGCTGTTGTATTCACATGCTGCTTTCTCACGAAGGAGAAAAGTCCTGTTTATGTGATGTTTATTTTAAATATAACACCCAACGGTTTGAGGAACTAAGAACTAGTAAGCTGGATGCCCAAGAGGAGCATGAACATGAGTAAAATATGATTCTGCCTTAAGGAATTTATGATCTTGCATTCAACAAATTATAATTACCTGTTAAGTTACACTATATGCTGACAGAGCAAAATTGAAATAAATTCTTTAACTGATGAGTTACCATGAACATAATGCACTCTACCTTAACATAATTTTTTGAGAATAAAATGATAATTAAATACATACCAGGATATTTGCCCCATTATAAAACACTAAATTAAGAGCCAAAATATTTTTAGTTTTCTTTTTGTTACCCAAATGATTTTCTTTAATTTGCTATGATTTTTTAAATAAATGCCAATCATGCTACAATACTTAAGTAAAGATCACATTAAGATAAACTAGAACATTAAAATCTATTTTTTGTATTCTGTCCCATAGTTAATCACAAATATTATTCTTTATTAAAATAATGTATTGGAAAAAATATTATGGCAAACAATTTTAATGCTTTAATGTAAGAGATGCCAAAGGTGAGTCTGACAAGAAATCTTACAAATAATTCCCTACTAATTTATTTATAATTCAAAAACTTTGTCATAGGTTTGATTTCTTCATTAATTTACCTTTATAGAGTCAATTTACATAATTATAAAAGATGAGTGTCTGATATATGCTCTTAGGATTTTTATATAAGAATACTCTGTTAGGGCCCTCCCTGGTGGCGCAGCGGGTTAAAGCACTGCACTGAGAAGCTAAAGCCACCTCCGCATGAGTTCGATTCCCGGCTGCCCCGGAGGCGACCACATGGTGTGGCAGACCTCCCCTGGCCCGCCCGCTGCTCCCCTCAGCAGTGTACTTCGTCCATCTGCCTGTTCTGCTCCTCACTCTGTCTCTGGTGAGTCCTCTCACCCTCCGCATCTCTGGCCTGTACCCCAGTTCTGTATGAGTAAATAAATCTTAAAAAAAAAAAAAAAAGAATACTCTGTTAGCGGGCCCTCTCTGGTGGCGCAGCGGGTTAAAGCACAGCACAAAGAAGCTTAAGCCACTTCCGCCTGAGTTCGATCCCCGCCTGCCCCGGAGGTGACCCACATGGCGCGGCAGACCTCTCCTGACCCACCCGCTGCTCCCCTCAGCAGTGTACTTCGTCCATCTGCCTGTTCTGCTCCTCACTCTGTCTCTGGTGAGTCCTCTCACCCTCCGCATCTCTGGCCTGTACCCCAGTTCTGTATGAGTAAATAAATCTTAAAAAAAAAAAAAAGAATACTCTGTTAGCATTAAAACCTTCAAAAACTTTGATACTAATACAGATAACAACATCTTCATGCAAAAATAATTAATTAATTATACATATACATATTTTATTATTATTTTTAAAGATTTATTTATTTATTTATTTATACATGCATACGGAGCTGGGGCACAGGCCAGAGGTGCAGGGGCGGTGAGAGGATTCACCAGACACAAGATGGGGAGCAGAACAGGCCGACTGAGAAGTATACTGCTGAGAGGAGCAGTGGGTGGGTCAAGAGAGGTCTGCCGCGCCATATGGGTCACCTCCCGGCTGGGATCAAACTAAGCTTCTTAGTGCTGTGCTTTAACCCGCTGCGCCACCAGGGAAGGCCCAATTATACATATTTTTAATCTACTTGTTTTTATCTCAGATTTTCAGGAATTATTGCACTAAGTTTCTATTTTAAATTTAGCATCTGACTTCTGTGTTCTTTCAACAATGTAAAATCTCTCTCTTTGATAGAAGCAGGCCAAGTTCAGATGTCAGAAGTCACCATATTTGCAAATACTATTGGTCTTTGTTCATCTGATACACAGATATGCATCTGATGCCAAGCAACCCCGTTCATAATACTTGCTAAGTTACACAAGATTTATGAAAATAACTTAAATAGTGCAGGTAATTTGTTAGCCATCCTTTCTGGGAGTGTTCTCAAGAATCCAGCTGGGGTTAACCAAACCTCAAAAGTGCTGACTGCTGAGTGGTTATAAGAGATTTATAAGATGAATCAACATATTAACGAAGTAACTTCACTGATCTGCTACACCAAGAAGTAAACTATTTATGTTTTAATTATGCAGATAATAAAGATGGCAAGGTAATTATGTTACTAAGAGAATAATATCCGCTAAATATAACATTGATTCAGTATCATTAAAAAAAACATAATGTTTTATAACTGAAAATAAATCTGCATGCAATGATGCTTCTCTGCACTCACTCTAGGAAGGAGCGATTGTGCCACCTTTGGTCCTGCCGAGATGTTAATGCCAGCCCATAAACCTCATGGCAACACGGTAATTAACACCTTCCTTCTTTCAATGTCAAATGCACTCCAACTTGGGATTTCCATAATGGGGAGACATGTTAAAACTTTATTCAACAAAGAAAATTAAAGACTGTGTACTATGTGTTTTTTCCTGCTGCACGACACGGTGACATACATAATAAAGGATATAAAAATGTCTGATGATGAAGGAAATGAAAGAGAAATGTTGTAAATGAATCCTGACAACTATATTGTTCTTAACAGCATAAAGAGCTCTATCTGTTAAAATCCTAAAACTTCTGATTAGAGGTTTCTGTGGAAAATTATTTCAAGACTTCTTCATGATTACTTGCTTTCCATGCAGAAATACTTAGGTAATCCTTATTAATTTTTTTTAGAGTGAATTGTTTGCCACTAATCTATAAATCAAGGTCATCTTGTTAAGTTGACTGGGCTTGTTGTCCAGTCAAGGTCTGGCCCAGCCAGGTCATGGCAAGCAACAGTTAATATAAAAGGGATTAGATGAAGAAAATACAGGTAAGATCTGAAAAGAAAGCAAGTCTAAAGAGAGAGAGGGCTAATTGGAATCTTTCTAGGTAAAAATATCATTATGAGGAACAGAAAACAATAAAACTGGAAAGTAATCAAGTAGATGGGTACATGCCAATATACTGTAGGGAAGGAAAGGAATTTCCTCCTACTCCTCTGGGTTCTTCCTGGATCTGTCAAACAGACAAATGGACATCAGCCAGATTGGTAAGAGAAAAGAACAAATTTCATTATGAGCATATAGAGAGTCTACATGAATGTAGATTATGAAGTAAAAAAGCATATAGCCTGAGCTAAGGAATAGAATTAGCCTGGGGCATCAAGAAGGGAAGAGGGGAGGACTCAGGAGAGGGTGATTTATATTGCGAAAAGCAGACGTTTTGTAATTGGGTGTTTGTCCTGCCACATAAACAGGTTTCTGCAATAGGAAGGCTACTTGTGGTAAAAATAAAACCAAAGCACCATGTGATGTTGTCTCAGCCATGAGAACATATGAGTACACCATCCATCCTCAGAACTCATTACTTTTTAAATTTCAAATGATCTCAACGAGCGCTGTAGATAGATGAGGTATACTACACAGTTTGGAAGCCATTTGAACTTCAAGAAAAAATGAGTTCTGTGGATGGATGGTGATGGTTACACAATAACATGAATGTACTTAAGGTCATTGAGCTGTACCCTTAAAACGATTACGATGGTTAATTTCATGTGTATCTTACCACAATTAAAAAGAAATAGAACTCTTTTCCTTTCTTTTATAAAAACTTGCTCCTCTTCTTGCATTCATGTCTCTGCATGGTAGCACTCTCCTCCCAGTTGCCGAAGCCAGAAGCCTGCTTCTGCCCTGCATCCGTTCAGTAAATAAGTGTCTCAATTTGCCAAGCACCATGCTTGTGGTTCTCCTTAGAAATGCCTCTGCAATTGTCTTAACCGCCCTGTGCCTGTTTCAGTACACCTTGGCTCCAGTCCTCTATGCTTCCAATCGCTACACTTTGCTGGAAGAATGGTCTTTCTTTAAAAAGTGAACACATGAATGTTCTCTCCCTTCTTTAAGTCATTTCAGTGGCTCTTTGCTACCATCACAAAAAATGTCAAAGTACTTAACTTGGTTATAACGCACATTAGCATTTGGTACCTCGTTGCACCTGAAGCCTAATTCAGTTTTCTGTAGCATTTTAGTCCCTGGCTATTCTAAGAACACGCAACTAGGCAACTCTACACTCTATCCCCCCTCTGACATTTCTACACACTGTTCCTTCTTGGAGCACTGTTGATCTCCCTGATTCCACCAGGACCTTCTTTGCAAAGCCAATTCCTATGATTTCCTCTAGGTCCTTGAGTATAAATTAACTTAGCCAGGAAAACTTATCTGACCCAAGTCTGTATTAGGTGCCCCTAATAACCCTAACAACAGGTATTGTGATTGCCTGTATATTTACCTGTTTATTGACACAAATGGGGGGGGGTGGGTTTCAATAAATCATTAATAAATGAATTGGTAATAGGTCCAAAGAGGTTATAGTTCACTCATAGTCACATCCGTAGGTCACTGCAGTGCTAGCAGTGGAACTAGTAGAACCTGAACACCAGAAACTCTCTCCAGTGCTTTTCCTATGACTGAATCATATAATAGGCAAGAGAGCTGAACAAGCCAATGACTCAGGGACACTAGATCAAAGAGAAGCTGAGATGTACAAAGCATTTCAGTTTGACCATGCCCATGCTTTCCCATCGTCTTTTCTTTTGAGTTCAAACAGCTAAAAGGGTCTGGTTAGACGACAACTAGGATAGTGTGAGGTTTAAGTTATTGGGCTGTTGGAAAAGTCATGACATATTTTGACTAGCATGACTTTTCCAACAACTCAATATTTGATAGAATAACATAAACAAGTTTTTCCAATATTAAAATTTTCATTTTATAGCCTATAAATTTGGCATAAATTATAACCTATAAGATCCTGTGTATTAACTTTGTACAAGACTGAAATTTGGCTTATTGCACTGAAACTTAGTTTGAGGAAATCTACTATGGGTTGAAAGGAAGTGTTTCCTATAATATACACATAGACATATATCAGGTTTGAGAATATATGTTTAGAGTATAAATAATTTAGACTGGTCAAATCTGTCATTTATAAGAAAAGTTACTGGAAGAGGGGATAAAATCATGTCTTTTTTTAAGTAAAATACTCCAAATACAAACAAATTAAAACTATGATTTCATCTTCACTGCTTGTGATGTAACTGATTTCTCACATTTTACAGTTTATGTCAACATAGCTTGCCACTGAAATTAAAATTTTGTTATGTATGTAGTATAAACATATTTTTCAAAGTATATAACACAGAACTGCTAGACTCCAGCTGAAACTTGAAGTTACTATATAGATACCATTCCAAATGTGGATTTATTGAAACCACTCTTTGAGACTCACAAATAGCATGTACCATCTGGGTAACTGCAAGATCAAAAGAAATAAGCGCTTAAAAAATAACTTAGGGATAATTTTTTTAATGATAGGAATATAGTTAAATAAAACTGAATTTATTATAGCCTTGACAAAACATTCTCTACATTAACCCATTAGCAGTGAGATGAACTGACCTTATATGCATTATTGTTCTTGAATGGTCATGTAAAAGCAGACAAATACGCTACTGTTTAATCATGCTAATCAAAATCAAGAACATGTATGCTTAGTTTGTATAAAATGAGACGTACAGTTATACGCAGCCTTGGTGATTGCCTTTGCTGCATTCTTCTGAATATCAGGAATTGTAGAGTTTTCTGCAAATGTCAGGAGCTTCTTAAGACCCCCAGTCTGCTGAATGAGCACCATAGTATCCCTATCTTCAAGGCAATTGGCTATCACTAACAGCGCTTCTGTATGAAGGTCACTCAAGTCCTAATAATAAAAGCAAACACAATTGTAGAGAGTTGTACTAAAAGAAATTTACACTACCAGATTTTATCACAGGAGGAAATGAAGTCAGGCAGAATATGATATAATTAATTTTGTTGTGACAGAGGCCCAAGGAAGGACTTGTGTTTATTAAAGTGACATCACGGCCCCTCACCATTTGTCCCACCTTTTCTCATTTCCCCCTACTACAAAATGTTTTATAGGTAGAAAATAATTATAGCAAACATGCAGTGGGGATAGCCAAATGATGTTGTTGAGACAACTACAAAAAACGTGACCTAGACTATAATGCCCCAAACCTTCAGGAAGAAAGGTTTGAGTCACCCGACCATGGAAAGGATGACGGTCAGTTGAGATAGTCCCTGAGGCAAAGGAATTATGGGATGGGAATAGGGAGAAGGAAGTTATAAATATCAACCACGGTGATTGACCAGTTATAAAAAAAGAGAACTGTAAATGCCATGAGTGTTTCTTCCTAATTCTGCTATGAATGTAGATGTGTGGGTAGGAAATACCCCCCACCATCCTCTTATGCACCGTAAGATGTACTGAAGTTCTAAAATAGCATTTTAATTAATTTTACATCATGGTATTTAAGTTAAATGTTATCAAGGTGAAGAGGAAATATCATTCAAGGACATTGCATCCTCTTCTGGGGAAAGATTAGTGCATTTTTGATGTTCACAGGTTGTGTGTCAAGTCAAGTGGACATGTACCTTGCTACTGTCTTTGCTTCATGGGTGTCAAATTGACAGGAGAAAAACTTGCAAAGGTTAATTTTTATGTTTTAACTTAGCTAGACCATGGTATCTAAATATTAGGTCAAATTTGTTTTAAATGTTTTTGAAAAGGTATTTTTAGATAATATATTTAAATCAGTATAATACAGCAGACTACTGCTGTTCTAAACCAAAAGATTTTCAAAGTTGAGGTATAACTGACGTACATATATTATATTAGTTTCATGTATACAACATAATAAATTTGATATTTATATATATTACAAAATGAACACCACAGTCAGTCTAGTTAATAATATCTCTCACAATACCTAGTTATAAAACTTTCTGCAGATGAGAACTTTTAATATCTACTCTCTGTTACTCAGAACTATATTTATTTTGTAACTGGAAATTTGTACCTTCTGACACCATTCGACCATTTCGCACAATCTATACCTGTCTACCCTGCCTCTGGCAATTAACAATCTATTCTCAATATTCAGGAACTTGGTTGCTGCTGCTACTGTTTTAGATTCAAAGTATAAGTGAGATCATATAGTGTTTGCTTTTTCTGACTTACTTCACTTAGCATAATACCCTCAAAGACATCCACTGTGTCATAAGTGACAGGATGTCCTTTGTTATCATGGCAATATTACAATATCTACCTGTCTATTTGTCTACCTATCTATCACATTTTTTTATCCATTTACCCATTAAAAGACATATACATGTAAATTTCTGATATTTGTAATGCTCCAAATATTTCCTTCAGGTCAATACCCAGAAGTTGAATTGGTGGATTATATTCTAGTTCATTTTTAACTTTTTGGAGAAACTCCCAGATGATTTAACAAATTATTCCATAATGATCTCTGTCATTCATTGGACTTAATCATGCTGATAAACTATGCCGCAATAAGCAAATTCACTCATTATATGCACTTTTATCATTAAATAGAACACAATTTAATCAAAAAATGCTCTACAATTTGTATTTTTTGACAACTTTTAGGAGGAGAGAACTTTCAGTTCCTAGAGAACTGAATGAATGACACAATACCTTAGTTTCTAGGATCTTAATAAGCTGGTCCACTCCTTGATTGTCTCTTAGCAGTACTCGTGACTTTTTATCATTTGTAACGACACCTAAGGTTTTGAGAGCCAACAGCTGAATAATTGGATATTCTGAATTCAAGAGTTCTAATATAGGAGGGATGGCATTTAGCTCTGGAAGTGTAGCTCGACACTGAAAATCCTGTCATAAGACACAAATGACCAAGGGGGTTAATGTTTAAGGTAAAATGCCATCTCAAGAATGAAGAAAATCTATTTTCTAACAGAGACACTATAAAATAATTTTCCCATCTTTTTATTTCAGATGGTCTTTCAAAGTAACTCATAAATATTAGCAAACCTGCAAATAAGAATACAAAGTATTTAACTATGTAGACATTGTCAGTAATAAGGAACTGACATGATCTAAGGCTTTGGTAATATCTATTGTTCAATACACAGCAAATTCCTATTACTATAAGCAATATCACAATAAAATCTATGAATAATATATTATTTTTCACATTCTATGTCCTGTATTAATTAGCATTTGATAAGACTAGATGATGGCATCAATTCCTTATTCTCCTCACCCAACAGCCTGTTTGTGAAATGCTCATAAGCACACGGTGCCCCAGGCAGGCCCTGTGCAATCTGACATCAGGATTCGCTCTGACGCTGACCTTTGTTTAACACACACATTATATGAAGGGGTCTTTACAGTCTAGACAAGTTGTTATAGATCTTGTGCCTGTAATTCTGTGCAACTCTGGGGGAGAGGGGTTGGGTGGAGTGAGCAATGGAGAAAAAAAGGCAAAAAGCCAGGAAAAGTCCCAAATTCTGACTGCTGAACATTTTAAAGGGCAGCATGTAAAAGAACACTAGAGGGGGAAAGGGCCCTTCCATTCAGCTTTATAGTCAGCTTCCTTCAGACATGAAAACTGAAGGTTGCTGTTTGTCATGGATTGACTTGTGTGAAAAGTAACATAATTGGAGCCATATTAAAATAAGGCCATAGGAATCCACTGTGGAAAAAGCTCTTGTACCATTATCTTCAAACTGCAAGATGACTCTTGGACTGGCCCAACCCCCAACATTTCAACAATAAGGAGAATACCCTGTTTAAAAGGAGCGATAAAGAAAATGTTCTTTTATTGTGTGAGGCCCTCCACATGTCCATTCACCTTGTGTCTCCATGTGACCATTAAATCACCCATGACCTCATCGTCCATGGTCTCTCTCTTCTTTCTCTCCCTATAAAAACTTCCCTGGGTCGTTCTTGTGGACATATTTCAGGTTTCTGCCTAAATCCCAAACTTCAATTCTTTGTCACCCCCAAAAAACACATTTCAGCTTGCCCATTCTCCCTGACATTCTTGAACTAGTGAACAATGAGTTTTATTTATTGCACTCAATTCACTAGGTTTTAACCAATAAATAAGCTGAATCCAACACCTTAGTTCACTGAGTAAGGTATATATAGTAAAATTGATCTTAAAAACACAGGTTGAACTTCTCAATTCTACTTATGAGTGGATGCACTTATAGATAGATTAGTTACATAAACTCTGGGTATTAATAAATAAATAAACACTCTGTTCCTTGTGATTTTGTTAATAACACTTCCCCCCTTTTAAAATTTAAATATGTTTCTCAAATGCCCTTTAGTGGCAGATAATTGCTTATATGTAAAAATGAAAGGTCTCTACACTAACATTCCATTACATCTTCTCTGATTATCTACTGAATAAGTACAAAGAAGAAAGGATTAATCAAAACTGGTGAATTTCAAAAAACTTTTTCCTTATTTTTTATGAAAAAAATAAATTCTATATCAGCTCCTGTCTAAACGTCTAAACACATTCTCAGCACTTGATCTTACCTGGACCAAGTTGTAAATGCACTCAATAGAATTCTTCTTCACATCAGGGTCAGGGCTGCTCAGCAGTCTGACGAGGGGCTCTAATCCGCCGCACTCAAATATTTGCACTTTGCTGGTGTACTCCGCAGACATGTTTGCCAGGCAAAGACTAGCAAACTCGTGGATAATTACTTCTTCTGCATGTCAAAAACAGAGAGCATGAGTGTGCTAAGTCCTCATGCAACCACTACTCTAGAGCCCGCCTACACAACCAAAGTGCCACAAATTCTACCTTGGTTGGAGCGCATCTTGGCTTGAGAGATTTTAATGACAATCCATAATTTGAATTTCATAAGCTATTTTCAGGAAGTAGTTTAATCAAATATAAAAAATAACCCAGGTCATTTTTTAAATAAGATGTAAAATTACCTTCTGGAGCAAGCTGAGCAATAACATGACTCAAGATATCCAACTCCCTTAACAATTTTTTCACATCACCTACAAAGGAAACAGAACATCAATGTTTGTTGATAATAATAATGACTGTGTGTTGAATGGCATTTGTGAGAGTGGGATATTATTACCTAATTTTACAGGTCAGGGTAAGAACCACACAGGAAGTAAGTAGCTGGGTCAAATGAAGCCCGGGTCTGTCTGGCTCCACCTGGGCCCCAGCCCATGCGCCCTGATCCCTGAGCAGACACCCTGAGACAGAGAAAACACCAGGGCAAGCCCAGACAGGCCTCCAGCGCCGAGGAGGGCAGCTGACCGACTGCCCACACGTGTTCACTGTGTAACAGTGACTCTTAACTTTTGTTGTCAGGATGCAGTTTTGCATTTTGATTTTAATAAATATTGTACAGAATGCAAATAAGAGTTATCCTCGGTCCTTTTTCTTTAACATAGTTGGTTTACATTTTATGTAATTACCAGAACTATCAAAAATGCTCAAAGATGAGTATGTTGATTTTTTAAGTTCATTTCTGTATAATCGATACTGGTTTAGGTAAAGTTAGACAAACACAATCCTACTTCTTTTCTGTTATTCCTTCCCCCTTTTCCTGAGAAGTAAGACAGAACTGTTTCTTCTGTTTACGACTTTTCTTCATGATCAATTATCTTCATATATGAGCCAATATTAGCATTACCAGAGTTCTGGAAAAGTTCACTTAGCCACAGCTGTAGCAGATGGTCTCTGGGTGAACTGTTTCTCATTAACCGCTGGGTAGACAGCACTTGGCTTTCTCAGGCATGTTATCCTGTGGGATCCAGGAATGTGGCTGTTCTTCAACCTGTCAAAACCCCTCTGCTGTCTCTTTCTGTTTAATGTGGCTAATAGAGGGTTAGAATACACCTGAAAAGAATAAGTATGCTTCTGGGTTGCCTAGTACCCTAAAATGAAGGACAACATTTTTCAGTTAACACTCATTTAAAAAATTAAAAGCACACTAACCCAGGCATAAAATTCAGATCATTCCATGTATTCTGGTGAATGATACAGATGTGAATCCTTGGCAAAAATGTGTTGTTACTCCTCTTCTCAGTTGTAGGTGTCCACACTATTGTTAGGAATGGGATTTCATGATGGCTATTCCAAAGTCTATGTCTACACGCTTGAAAAGAAATATTCCTGGGTTTTCAGATCTCTAAATACATTTTCCAAATCACCATCCAGATACTTCAGAGTTTGTGGGGTGACACCTGCCACAAGGTGAAGAAAACTCATACTTTTGTGTACCTCCTTTCTCTGCAGATCTACCCCCACAGGGAGTGCATCTGTGTGTGATGCACTTGATCCACCTGAACAATGAAATGAAATGTTTACTTCAGAGGGCTCCCTCTGTGCCTTAAAATCACCCTTTGGATGTGAATTCAGTCAAATAGCAAGTGGTGTTCAACAGACCCAGCAGATCTGCCTGCTCTGGCTTTTATGGATTCACTAGCAGTTTTTGGAAACTGATGCCACAGTTGACAATTCACTATCCTGGTATTTTGATGCCAGACCATTCAAGGAATCTTTGCTTTCTTTGGGTAAGTCAGCAAAAATAATGGGTCAACTGCTATTTCCATTACTTTAACGTTCGTGATCTTGGTGGCTGTATTTGCCAACAGAGACCACGCTCAGAAATGGACCTCGGTGGGAACGCTGGCTTGTGGTTGAGCCCCATGAACATGCTCTAGCTGAATGGTGTGGCCCCTGCACGTTCAGGTCATTGCTGAACAGCTAGCACCTTCCTTCCTGGGGGACTTCATACATTTCATTTTAATTTCATTCTTATTCATAATTTTTTGGTTTCATAATGTTAACCAATTAATTTGTTCTCAAATTTATGTATTCTTTTACCTCAACCTTCTCCTAACATGTTACAGTCTTCAGATTGCCTTAATTGATGGGAAGCTGGGCTTCAAACACTGTTTCTCCTCACAAGACTCCTGATGAACTGTTTCTGTAGCTGACTTCATCATATGAGTCTCTGGTTAAATTATCTTATTGGATGAAATATAAAGTGGCAGGTAAAAGAACACAGCAGTTCTGTTTTGGAAAAAAAGTTTTAAAAAACAACTTAAATGCTTATCATGTATGACCCACGTTTAGCACAGGAACAGAACTCAGGAACAGAACTCAACCACACTCGCAAAAGAAAAGAAATAATTAGAAAAATAAAGCAGCAGCAAAAAATTTGTAACTGTAAACAGGGAAAATGGCTCCTACATGAATCCTTTTAGTACCTGGCATTCTGTGGTTGATCCATAATAAACATAATATCACTGAACACATGAAGAACATATGAAAATACAAATTTCAGAAAAAGCATCAGTTATTTAAGATACCCAAAGATGATGACTTTACTTTTTGACTGAAGAGGTGCATTTATTTACATCCACATCTGGAAGCAGTAGTTTTCATGTGCTCAACAAATGAGTAGTTGTTCATTTTTACATACCAAGTTTCCTTGAATGAGGTGTTCTAGCTCAGGTATGTAAGGGGAAAAGCAGGCTGGCTAAAATGATTTACCACAGCAGAGAAAGAAGTCAGTTTATTCCTACCAGTCTGCATTTCATGTTGGAGTTCATTCTCTAGCAAGAATGTAATTTTTTTATTATGAACTACAAGTATTTACTCAGCTAACTGAAAAACCTACCATATTAACATGAAAATGACTTGCAAATGGAAACCATCCTGTTCATTAGTCAGGGGCTGCCTTAATTGACATGCCTTGGTCACACTGATATTCTCCTGGATATAAAAGCATATTTTACTAATATTGTTAAATATTTTTATATCTACCATATAAAAAAAGATCTAATGTAAGAAGTATATACATGGATAATTTATTATTAACGAAATATAGGTTATAGTTTCAGAAAAAAATAAATGTGCTAAAAACTTTTCCTTCTGGGCTTCATTTAGTATAAAATACATATGAAATATAAATGCATATAAGCATACACATTACATTATACTAACTCAAGGGAAAGATTTTAATTTTAAGAGACAGGGATTGATTCACTGTCTGACTGGAACACACTTCCTAATTAACTTTGAAAGTGTTTACATGGATATATTTGAAAACATATTTAAACTGTTTTACTAACACATGAAGTCATACATTTGTTGCATCACACTTCCTTTTCATTATTACTGACGTCAGTTTGAATCTGTTGAAGATAAATGCACAAGGATAATGAATTACATGGGATTATTCCCGTATTTTTTAAAGTTGATACTTACTATTAGAAGTCAGGATCCCAAATATCATATTAGCATTTCTTCTGACAATTTTGTCTTCATGGGTGAGCAGTTTAGTTAAAGGTTCCACAGCTCCGAGTTCAAGGAGGGTTGTTTTATTTTCCTCACCTGACATAGATACATGAAAATCATACATGGGCACCAATCTCATCAAATTCCTTTGTCATTCCAATTGCTCACTGGCCATTTGGCTTTCACATTCCTTCGCCTCCACATTTACCCGTTTACTCCTCTCAGAAAAAGCTTTAGAGCGCAGGCGCCAGGACATGTGCCGCTCCCCGCCCCTCCCTGATGTCTACAAAGCTGAATGGGGAGTTCCTACTTGACAGTGTTCTTCAGAGGGGCCACACCAACCTTAACTCCTTATTCCAGTTGATCTTGTCCCTCTTACCCTTACTCATTTTCCTTCATACCATACCACTTTTTGAACTTCCATGCTTTGTCTGCCTACTCTACAGTCTTAACTTTCCACGATACTATGCCATGCTGTTCTGGCTCGCCTACCCTATCTGGCACAGTGCCTGCCATTTGCTCAATCTGCATACTGTATACCTCATTTTAATGAACCAATTAATTAACACACATAGGGCCCACTTTAATTTCAAGGGTATGTGATGGAATCTGGGGGCTCACTTTTCACCTCTGTGAGTAGATGCTGAGGTAACGCCTGTAGGCAGCCTCAGTGGTGAACCACCAGGTATCAGGACTCTTTTACTGTAGCAAGAGGTCCCAGAAACAGAAAGTTTTCAGGGTCAGAATCCAGTTTAACTGTAGAAGTAGTTTGTTCATACCCTAATGAACAAACTACTAATATCATTCTACAAAGTTTGGAATAATGTATAGGTATGGGTTAATTATAATTTTCAATTTCACTGGACTCTGAAAATTAAAATTTTCAAAATTTTATTGAGCATTAGAAGTCACTCATTAACTACTTTCCTTTTATTTTTCTCATAAAATTATTTCATACTGTAAGCTAGAGGTTCATATTCTAAAAACACACTTCTTAGGTAGACTAGATCTTCTTACAGCCCATGGAATTTCCCTGTAACTAAATGGTCAAATGTGTTACTGAATAAGAGCAGGCCGAAATATGCACTATAGACTATTTCACAATATTGAATTTTAACAGATTTAAAAGTAATCTTATAGTCTTGGAGTGAATTTCATTCCATCATGATGTAGCAGTCTTTTCATAAATTGTTGACTTTTATTAGCCAATATTTTGTTTAAAATTTTAAAATTACGTTTATGAGGCATATTGATCAGTAGGTTTCTTATCAGTGTATTTTGTCAGTTATGGGTGTGTTGGTACTTGCAGTTTCGTGGAACAAGTTGGAAATATTCCATTTTTTTTTCGATTTTAGAAAAGATCTTACATGTATAATTAGTATCATTTTTCATCAGTGTTTGGTAGAATCCATGAATTAGCACACTTGGACCATGAGTCTTTTTTGTGAAAAATTTAACCAGATGTTTCCATTTCTGCCACTTTTCTGGTGTTAATATAACCATTCCACCTTTCTTGTGACTAGTGTGGGTGTAGGATTTTTACAATTTATTTTCTTGTTTGTATCATATTCTAAAACATTCTTTGAGGTGGCATATAGTTTGATTTTGGTCTTTTTTTTTTTATTTTACAATATAACACTCCCTGTTAATTGAGGACCTAGATCATTTGTAGTTGTTAGGTTTAAAATATACCACGTTATAATTTGGTTTTTATGCATCCCATGAGACCCTTTGCTTTCTTTTTCTTCATTTTTACCTTCTTTGTATAGACTATTGCTTCTGACTGCGTTTCCTTTGCTGGCGTATGTGATATTATCCTTTGTTTGCCGTTTCATTGGTTGTATTATTGAAGTCCATCCTTAATTAAGTGCAGTCTATTTCCAAGTGGTGGTATACCACAAATACATACTTTCTCCACTTGGACCTCTTGTGCATATAGTTACCAGAACCACATGGAAGTTTCTTCCTCAACCCTCCTTTTTTTTTGATACAAATGTTGTCCCACATTGTATTTACACGTATATTCTAGATTGCAAATATATGATTTTTATTTTTGTTTATAATAATTCTTTTGTCTTTTCAGTGATTTGTATAATAAGAAAAATTACTACATGTTATTCTTACTGTTCTATTTTTATTCTTTTGTATAGAACCATATTAGCATTTGGTGTTACTTTACTTCTGCCTAAATTACCTACAGTACCATAATTAGTACTGTGCACCTGTTTGTAAAAATCTACTTTGTTGGATGTCTGGTACTTTAACTTACACTTTTATGAAAGAATTTTCACTAGGTATAAAATTCTAAGTTGAAAGTTTTCATTTTTCTTTCAATATCTTAAAGGTGTGGTTCCTCTGACTTCTTGCTTGCATCATTATCATTTGTGATGATAAACCTCTTGTCATCCTTATCTTTCTCTTCTAAACGTAACATTTCTTTTCTTTAGTTCTTTTAAGATTTTTCTCCTTATGGCTGATTTCAAGCAATTTTTGGGGCAAAAAAATCTTGAAATTTGTACTGGTACACAACTTTCTGGAAATCATTTGGTCCTTTCAGGGCTGGCTTTTAATTTTTGATTTTAGTACCAGAACAGTGCTACATATATCATTAATTATTTTTACCTATTGAGGTGTGACTCCTCAATGTAACATACAAAGTGATTATGTGCTTGGGAATAAGCCACTGTGCCCAGCCCATATCTAAAAACAGGGAGTTATATTCTGCCTATTTGAAGGCAGAGTATTAATTATTTAAATTCTTCTATGTGGAAGATTTGTCTTTTCTCTCCTATATATTTACTTACACAAATATTTATTTACAACAGAATAAACTCATAGGTTTTATTTTCTACTTTTAGACTCTAATAGTACTTTATATTTTTTTGTTGCTTAAATCTTTCCAGTTTTAACTAGTAGGAGTTCTTCAGCTCTTATGACACAGTTTTTTAAGGTACAATAAAACTGTCAAAATGCCTATTGTACCGTCACTAAATTACTCCTTAAGATTAAGTTAGGTGCTTAGTGAGATGTATCACTTTATATTACTAAATGGTAAGTCTGGCTGTAAATTAAATGGGAAAAAGTGTCCATTATGCAGTAAATATTTTAAGAAATTAATGAAGTAGATAAACTGAAAAAATCAAACCTTTTAAAGCAAATCTATAAATTCCTTCACAAGCTTTTGCCAAAATTTCCTCTTCTGGAGAATTAAGCATTAACACCACAGTTGCTACATTTTTGCTTTCAACTGTTAATGGGTCGAACTGAAAAGCAGGAAGAAAAATATTAGGTTCACATTTGAGCCTTAAAAAATCCCCTGAAAAAATGAAGTGTCTTGAAAGTTAAACAGAACATAATCATACTAAAAAGGATGTGGTCATTGCCCACTAAATGCATTGAAAAGCTTATTTTAAAAAGCATCATTGTTAAGGAGGTAGTTGTTAACATTGGCGACTGTGGAATTCCTGGAGTCTAGCATGAAGAGCAAAAAACTTTGGAACCTGACAGATATAGTCTCTCAGTATAACCACATGGAATCAAACAAGTCACTGAGGTTGCTAGAATTTCAGTTTCCCTTTCTGTACAATGGGCTTAATAAAACTACCTCAAAGCATCAAAGGGAACACTGAATGTAGGTAAACCACTTGGTACATTGTCTGGCAAACAACAGATGCTTATTAAATAACTTCTATGATTCTTAGTCATCACACAAGACTTCTTGAGTACCTGAATGTGTTACCTGCCCTAACAGTGTCAACAGCCAGTACCCACTTTCTAACCTCTACACTCTTTTTACTTATGTGCAAAACAAAAGAAAACAGCATGGAGTGAAACTGAAAACCAGGTAAATCCTGGAATGGGAAATTTGCAATATGAATCTTTATGAATATAAAGAAAATTTATGAATATAAAGAAAAATGTATAGGAGTCTAAAAAGGTCTATTTCCTACTCCAAGATCTTGGGAATTCATGTGTGGATGAAATTAGCAAGAACAATCAGAGGATTTGGGGTGATATCAGGTACAGATATGACTCACTGATCATACTGCTTTTAATCTGAAAAATTAGAGAGTTGGTTTATGTCTTTTAGGTATCTTCCAGGCATAAAATTCTAAGATTCTGGCCCTCCCTGGTGGCGCAGCGGGTTAAAGCACAGCACAAAGAAGCTAACGCCACTTCCGCATGAGTTCGATCCCCGCCTGCCCGGGAGGTGACCACATGGCGTGGTAGACCTCTCCTGACCCGCCCGCTGCTCCCCTCAGCAGTGTACTTTGATCATCTGCCTGTTCTGCTCCCCGCTCTGTCTCTGGTGAATCCTCTCACCCTCCGCATCTCTGGCCTGTACCCCAGTTCTGTA